GGAGCAGGGCTCGGGGGGAGGGGGGAGTCAGGGAGGGGGCCGCTCACCCGCACCCCAACCGAGGAGTCTGCAGGTCCTGCTTGGATCTGGCCGGGAGCGCCCTCCGCGCCCCCTCCCCTATGGGAGGGGGTGGGTAGAAAGTTCCCAGTCTCTGCGCCCTCCTCAGTGGGGCCCGTGTGTTCTCTAAAGGTGGCTTTGACCCCGGGTTGCCCGGCCAGCGCGACCGAGGAGGTGGCTGGACAGCTGGAGGATGAACGGAGAAGCCGACTGCCCCACAGACCTGGAAATGGCCGCCCCCAAAGGCCAAGGTAGGCCCCTCCGCCTGTGCCGTGTCTGGGGGCCAGTGAACCTCGAGCATCCCACACACTGGGGCTTGGCCAGTCCACACCGGCCTGAGCCTGTCCACTGTGCACCTGCTCCCCTCCTCGTGTTCGAGGAGGAGCAAGCCTCCCACCTGGGGCCCTAGATCCTCAAAGTGGGTCCCCAAATGTGCTGGGAGGACGGGGACGGGGCAGACGTCCCGGGTGTTTGTGGTTGTTGGAGGGTAAGGATGTGGCCTTGCAGGTGCAGAGGTGGCAGAGATAGAGCTGGGGCGATGGACCTCAGTTTTGGGGTGGTGTGCACGGCCAGATCCCCTCATCCCACGGGGTGCTCTTAGCATGTGGGGTGGCGGAAAGAAGCCAGCATCTGGCTCTGTGGGGGTCAGCGATGAGAGATTACCAGCCCATGTGACCCACCCCACAGAAGCCCTGCCCAGGTTACCAGATGCCCAGGAAAGCTGTAGCTTTTTTGACTCCTGGCCACTAGTGGCCAGTCCCTTGCCCCCCCCTTCTGGTCACCATTCAAGAGACCTCAGTGCTCTGGGCTGCGTCTGAGGGTCTGGCCACGTTCCCTTTTTGAGCCTTCTGGGCGTTCTCCTTGGAATGGGCCACCTAAGAGCTGCCCCTTGAGGTTCTCCCGGCTGGCAGGAATTCTCTCTGGTCTGCCCGGGGTGGGGTGACCCTTCCAGCGGTGCCAGGGAGACTTCTGTGTGGGGTGCCCTTGCTGCTCACACCCAGCCCCAGCCCCTGGGGTCCAGGTCATCTCCCTAGGACTTGGACTTGGCCAAGTTTGGCTGTGTTGTCCCTGTGGTTCTCTCCCCGTCCAGCTGCTTCCCTGCCTCCATCTCTCTGGGTCAGCTTGGCCTGCTGGAACAGCCGTAGTCTTGAAGTAAACCAGGCCTGAGTTCCAGCCCGGCTTTCTAGATTAGAGTCCCTGGCTGGGGATATAGCTCAACAGCATAAGCGCTTGTCTGGCAATCCTGAGGTCATGAGTTCAATTCCCAGTACCAATCAATAAATAAATAGATACATAGATTAGAGTCGCTACCCTGACCCCAGGTGGCTGTGGTTTTCTCAGGGCTGACTGCCTAGGCCGAGGAGGATGCCAGGGTTCAGAAGGGAAGTAGCCCTGGAGAGGAGGGCCGAGTACTCAGGGACCCAGGGGCAGAAGCTCAGGGAGGGTGTGAGCTGTGCGTGATATCTTCTTTGATGCCTTGCCAGACCGCTGGTCCCAGGAAGACATGCTGACCCTGCTGGAGTGCATGAAGAACAACCTTCCCTCCAACGACAGCTCCAAGTTCAAAACCACCGAGTCACACATGGACTGGGAGAAAGTCGCATTTAAAGACTTCTCTGGCGACATGTGCAAGCTCAAGTGGGTCGAGATTTCAAATGAGGTGAGGGATCCCTTCTGACCTGGGAGTCCTGGGCTGCAGGTGGCCGGGCTGGCTGTGGACAGGAAGGAAGGAGGCCGGGATGCTGTTCGCCCGCTGCCTGTCACCCCTGCCTGACCCTAGCCACCCTCTGTGGCCTGGCACAGAGCCCTGCCAGTCTGTCCAGTGGCCGTGGAAGCTCAGTCTTGGGACTTTTGTCACCTGAGCTTGGTGGGGTAGCTGAGGAGTGTTGAGGAGGGCACATGGGTCACGTGAAAACCATGCAGCTGTCCTTGGCATCTGCAGCAGGCGAGGGCCTATGCCGGCTTTAGGGACTGTTGGCGTTGGCCTTGGCTCCCCTGGAACATACCCCACTGGGTGGAGAGTTGGGGAGACCTGTGGGAAGGGGCTTGCTATAGGGTGCTATTCCCAGCGTCCCCTTCCTCCTCCAGGTGCGGAAGTTCCGAACATTGACAGAATTGATCCTTGATGCTCAGGAACACGTTAAAAACCCTTACAAAGGCAAAAAGCTCAAGGTGGGTTATGGGGGTGGGAAGGCACAGCCGGGCAGGCATGGGCCACAGAAGGGGTGGCAGGCACCTGACCACCCTGTCTCCCTTCCAGAAACACCCTGACTTCCCAAAGAAGCCTCTCACCCCCTACTTCCGCTTCTTCATGGAGAAGCGGGCCAAGTATGCAAAACTCCACCCCGAGATGAGCAACCTGGACCTCACTAAGATCCTGTCCAAGAAATACAAGGAGCTTCCAGAGAAGAAGAAGGTGGGGGAGGGCAGGGAAGGGGCAGGCAGGAGCGCCAAGGTGGCACCGCGATGCTGGGTGGGTGGGGGGAGCAGCACCACAGGCAGGGCCCCGGGCAGCACGCCTGGTCGCTCACGGCCACACACGGGCACCGCCCCTGGAGGTGCAGGTCGGGTGGGGGCTCACACTGGCCCTGTACCCCACACTGCCCCCACTCCACCCAGTCCACCTGTGACACACTTCCTTCCCTCCACCGCACCTGCCCTCCTGGTCTGCTTGGACACATGTAAGATCCTCACAGGTGACCCCAGGAAAAGGCAAGGACCTGGGGTGTGAGAAGGCTGGGGCTCAGCTCACACATCTAGCAGTGTTAGAGGACTTGGACCTGGTGCCCAGACACACTGCCCAGGGCTCTGCTTGCTGCCATGTCCATGTGCTCTGGGGCTTCCCCACCCCCACCCCACGGGCCTCCTGGCCCCAGACCACCAGCGGCTGCGACTTTGGGCAGAGGTCAGGAGGTCCCTTGCGGAGGCTGGCCGCAAAGCCCCGGGAGCTCCACTGAGGGGACAGCAGAGCCAGGAGGAGCAGTTGGTGACTCCCACCAGAGAGACGGGCACACGGGTGGGGAGAAGACACAGAGGCACGCAGCCCGCACTCAGAGCGGCACCGGCCGCCTCCCTGAGCGCCTTTCCCCGGCCACGTACGGTGGCTGCAGATCCCAGGGCCCTTGGTGCTGAGTCCCACGTGAGTCCTGCCCGGTTGGGTAAAACCAGCCGTCCACAGACCGCCCAGGCGAGCAGGGGTGAATCGCTGGAGCCACATGTGCATGAGGCTGGTAGCTGTGCTCCGCACGGCACACGCAGATGCAGGGCAAGCGGGGGCAGAGGGTCTGAGAAGGGGCAGGACAGAGGTGCGTGCTTAGGTGGGCAGAGGGCTGCCTGACCCTGCCACCCGTGAGTCGCTCGGCCTGGTCCCGGCCTGGGCAGCGTGAGCCAGGGCTGTGGGTGTCTGCTGGCTCTAAAAGCTACTCTTGGGTCTGAGGAAGGCTGACTGGGGTGGAAGAGGCCAGACTTGGTCTCCACGATGAGCCCCTGGCCTCTCCAGGGCCATGCAGGTGACCCTGGGAGAAGCGGGGGTGGTCGTGGGGGAGGGGTGTGGGGCGCCACCAGAGACCCAGAACTAGTGGACAGGGATGACCGCAAGTGCAGGGAGGGAGCAGATCTGCTGGGGTGGGTCAGGCGTAAGATCCCTCAGGAGCAGAACCTGCTAACCTGAGCCCTGGGGCAGCGTGAGTAGACAATCCATCTGCTGTGGTGGATGTGGGGAGCAGGCCTGACAGGAGCACAGGCTCCACCGGACTTACGGGAGGCCTGGGTGCCCGGCCCCTGCCCCACAAGTGGCGATGGGTGACACTGTCAGGACTCCTCCGTCAGCTCCCTCCTAAACAGATGCCAGGCCCTAGCAGTGGTGTCTGCAGATGGCCAAGCTCTGCCATCTGGCTCCCGCTGCCAGGCCGGTGTGTGGTGAGCCTGGCCTGTCAGAGGCACAGGCCACCCAAGGGGGCCTGAGCTAGCCAGGAGGGCGTGGGTTCTGGGTGAGGCCCAGTTGGGTCCTGGGTGACCCCGTCCCCTCCTCCCCCAGATGAAGTATATTCAGGACTTCCAGAGGGAAAAGCAGGAGTTCGAACGAAACCTGGCCCGGTTCAGGTAAGGTTGGAGACAACCAGCAGCCACGGGGCCTGGGGTGTGGCAGAACAGGCAGGCACTGGCCAGAGCTGGGAGCTGGCCCTCTGGGAGACGTGGGAGGGTCCCGCGAAGGCTCCCTCGTGCTCAGGCAGGTGGCCACTGTCCCATTAAGCCCGTGGCCTAGGAGGCTTGGTGGGGGGTGTGGACACTAGGGCTTGCCTGACAGTGTCCCCAGTGACCCTCGCTCCGTGCACTGGCCAGGGAAGACCACCCCGACCTTATCCAGAATGCAAAGAAGTCGGACATCCCTGAGAAGCCCAAAACCCCCCAGCAGCTGTGGTACACGCATGAGAAGAAGGTGTACCTGAAAGTGCGGCCAGATGTGAGTGTCTGGCTGGTGGGTGGGTGGAGGCGCAAGGCGGGACCGGGGGGAGCCGCGCCGGGTCGCCGGGCTGGGTCAGGGGAGCAGGAGAGGAGGCCCCTCCCCAGGGGTGGGCTGCATGGACAGGGCCCGGGCCAGCGCGTGCGAGTGTGTGTGCGTGCGTGTGTGAGCCTCCCTGCACCAGGCGGACACCCGCCTCTCCGCCTTGCCCTCCTGGCCTGTGGGGGACACCGACGTGACCTCCCGTGGCCCGAGGGGGCGGGGCCTCGCGCCCCCACCCCCCTCCCCCTGCCCTGGCTGCTTGCGTGTGTCTGACGGCTTTTGGTTTGCAGGCCACTACGAAGGAGGTGAAGGACTCCCTGGGGAAGCAGTGGTCTCAGCTCTCGGACAAAAAGAGGCTGAAATGGATTCATAAGGCCCTGGAGCAGCGGAAGGAGTACGAGGTTAGGCTTCCGCTGCGCTCCGCCCCGCCCGGCTCTTCACGAGCCTCTGCCCGGACTCATCGCTCCCAGACCCTGTCGAGGGAGGGGCCTGGTGGCCCCTCGCCTCTGCCCCTACGGTCCCCGACATCCCCAGGAGATCTCAGGCTAGGGCAGGGCAGGGCACCGTGTGGCACGGCGCGGCAGACACACGGCCACCCCCGGCTTTGCTCCGGCCCCCCTCCCCAGCGGCTCCCCCGCGCCCCCTGGCCCAGCTAACCCCACCCCGTTGCGCTCCGCGCCCACCCGCTCTGCAGGAGATCATGCGCGACTACATCCAGAAGCACCCCGAGCTGAACATCAGCGAGGAGGGCATCACCAAGTCCACCCTCACCAAGGCCGAGCGCCAGCTCAAGGACAAGTTCGACGGGCGACCCACCAAGCCGCCTCCGTGAGCGCCGCCCTGGGCAGGCGGGTGGGCGGCGGGAGGCCTGCCCAGCCTCACGGCGCCCTCCGGCCCCACAGGAACAGCTACTCGCTGTACTGCGCGGAGCTGATGGCCAACATGAAGGACGTGCCGAGCACGGAGCGCATGGTGCTGTGCAGCCAGCAGTGGAAGCTGCTGTCCCAGAAGGAGAAGGACGCCTACCACAAGAAGTGCGACCAGGTGCGGGGCACGCCCGGGGCGGGGGCAGGGGCGCTGTGCCCGCCCGCCCGCGCGGCCCCGCTGACCCTGCCCCTGGCTTTCCAGAAAAAGAAAGACTACGAGGTGGAGCTGCTGCGCTTCCTGGAGGTGAGGGGGTGCCGGCTGGGAGAAGTGGGAGAGGCCGGGCGGCCCCCTGCCCACCCACCCGCGTCCGCCCCGTGCCCGTCCTGTCCCGCAGAGCCTGCCCGAGGAGGAGCAGCAGCGGGTGCTGGGCGAGGAGAAGATGCTGAACATCAGCAAGAAGCAGGCGGGCAGCCCGGCCGCCAAG